TTAATTTAATTATTTAAATATACAAATTGTAACAACCGCTTGTTAAATGAAGAATGTTCATTACAATGTCCAACAGTCCAAGGCTGTGTCTTCAGATGTCATGTTTCATCTCACCAACAGTCTAAAACCCAAGAATATTCAGATTACTTCCAAGTAGGGCAAAGAAAAGCAGCAAATTCTCACATTTTCTGTTGATTGATTTATCAGCTAATCATTGTAGCCATAATTTACTTTGAATTAAGAACAATGTCTTTGGAATTCTGGCATATAATTTCAATCATTTATGAGTAAAATCAATGCCGTCTTTGCATTTTTTTTATTTTATTTTTTTTTTAGCTGGCGAATCAGGATCAGCAGACACAGTGCGAGACCCCCGAGGCTTCGCAGTCAAGTTTTACACTGAGGAGGGCAACTGGGACCTGACAGGAAACAACACCCCAATTTTCTTCATCAGGGACGCCCTGCTGGTGAGTGATTTAATAACAGCATTTTTGTTAATATAAATCACGTGTAAAATGTATCACATTGACCTGCCCCCTTTACCCCATGCAGTTCCCGTCCTTCATCCACTCCCAGAAGCGCAATCCTCAAACCCACATGAAAGACCCCGACATGGTGTGGGACTTCTGGAGCCTGAGGCCTGAGTGTCTGCATCAGGTAGCTGCGACAGATTCTGAGGCTGTTGATTTAAGAAAAGAAAACAATATTATCAAGTAATGTAGCTTTTGCATTACTTGCATTGATTTGCTTCATTTTGTTTGTACTTGCAGTAATTGTTTTTAGTGGTTACCTCAACAGTTGGCACAGAAAATGTTTGTCTTTACTTTCGGTCCTGTATCCCCTGTTCTAGGTGTCTTTCTTGTTCAGCGATCGAGGTTTGCCTGATGGCCACCGCCACATGAACGGCTACGGCTCCCACACCTTTAAACTGGTCAATGCTGATGGTGAGCGTTTCTACTGCAAGTTCCACTACAAGGTCTGTTTAAGCTCAGGTTTAACTCTCATTTAACTTGATAGATCCTCCTCCTTGGATTTTGTCATTGTTTAGTTGTGTCATGTTCTGTGTCGTGTTTTTTAGACTGATCAGGGAATAAAGAATCTGACAGTAGAGGAGGCAGACCGCCTGGCTGCCACCAACCCAGATTATGCCATTGGAGATTTGTTCAACGCCATTGCTAATGGCAACTTCCCATCCTGGACCTTCTACATCCAGGTCATGACCTTTGAGCAGGCTGAGAAGTTCCAGTTCAACCCCTTCGATCTTACCAAGGTACCACATCCCTCCACAGCAGCTGTGAAATGGCTTCACTTGCAGTCGTATTATAACCTCTTGTAGGATGCTTAAAATATGTTTTACATTAACACAGATGTCTGCAGGTTCACAGCACTGTTAGGCGTTCTTAATGTTACATAAAGTAGCATGCATCAGGTTGAATGAGGAAGATTCCTAGCCAGACTAGAAGAATATCAACAAGAGAACTAATTGTAATAAGGGATTCATTTATTATTGAAAATGCCAACATCAGATGTCTAGTTGTGAAAATCTATACAAATATGAAATGAGGTGATCTTGAGAAAGGCCATGTGAAATTCTTCATTGGATGTGTTGCAGTATTTTTCAGCTAATGGAGTTTTCTCATTCAGGTTTGGTCACATAAAGAATACCCTTTGATCCCTGTGGGCAAAATGGTGCTCAACAGGAATCCAGTCAACTACTTTGCAGAGGTGGAGCAGCTGGCATTTGACCCCAGCAACATGCCACCGGGCATCGAGCCGAGCCCCGACAAGATGTTGCAGGTAACACCACAACAGGTTTTCTCTTAACATGTTTTCAGTTAAATTTAAAAGTAAGTTATAATTGATCTTATACATATCTAAATTTAGATACGTGGACTACGATATGATTCAGGAATTATGTATTTTGATATGGAACAATTCAATGCGATATGATGCAGACTGATACAGACTGATACAGTTCTTAACATTTGTTTAATGTGGACATTTATTTTCCATTCTATACAATCAAATACATTTATTTTATACAATACCAAATATTATTTTTCTTTATGGCGTGGGGGAAAAAATGGGGGACAAATTTATAATTTCATCATTATTGCTTTTTATAGACACAGACAAAAAAAGCTGCGATTACCTCAGACCTCGCCGAGTTGTGGCTAAGTTGTGGCTGGAAAGTGTTTAATATCGGTGACGTGCATGTTCTTGCTTGTACTAGCTGTATTAGCATGAGGTAGTGCAAGACCCTCGCATTAATCTTTACCTTTCACAATAGTGGAGATGCTGTTAGCAGCAAAGCTTCAGTCAACCATAAGCTTTAGAAACTGACCATCGACCGGTACATTTAGATCAATCCAGGTGTCCTGGTACCCGTGTAGTTGCATCTATAATGTTAAAACCAATTTCCAACTCCTATTGGTAAATATTTACACCCCTAGTAAATGAATAATTCAGTTGTAAATAAAGTCTGCTACCATCATTATACCTATATGTGCATTTATATTGACATCAAAACACAAACAAAAAGGAGACTTTCTTTTTACCAACTTTCCTACTAGATATCCTGCCAGTTTCCAGTTAAATATAAATATGCAAGTCATCATTTAAGCTCTTTTTTTTTTTTTATCACTAAAAACACACAAATCAGTCACTGTTTACCATGATGGTCCAGACTGAGTCTCAATTGTGTCCTGTTAAACGGCATGTTCAGGCACTTCAGATCGAACGTCGTTGAGTAAATGTCTTAAAACTAAACTCTGTCTCTGACACTCCAGAGACATACTGTGTAACGATGCTCTCCCATGTCTTTGTCTAGGGTCGCCTGTTCTCCTACCCAGACACACATCGACACCGGCTGGGAGCCAACTATCTGCAGATCCCAGTCAACTGCCCCTTCAGAGCCCGTGTGGCCAACTACCAGCGTGATGGTCCAATGTGCATGTTTGACAACCAAGGTAAGTCATAGTCCATCCCGTGAGTCTTTTTCTGTGCCTGCTATACATAACAAAGACAAACACAAAGGCTCTTAAAGCAGTAGATGTGGCTAGAGTGGCTCAACGATTCATTTTGTATAATCTGTAGAATATCGTAATTTTAGTTTATACAAATTATAGTTCTACGGCAGTGTAGTTTTGACAAAACCGGGGTGTCCCACAGTGTTTTCCAGCAAAGTTCACCCCTGCTAACATCATAAATGGTAATATCATTTTATGAAATAAGATGTCAAACTTCAGTGGGGGAAAAAAAATACACCATATTTTGTTTACAACATTACAATTTCTTACATGTTCATGAAAACTGAACTCTAGCAAAAATAATGAATTTCCATTCTTTTTAAAAATCTGTCTGTTTTTATAATATAAGCTTTGTTTAACAAAATATCTATTATGACAGCAGTGAGACACTTACATGGCCTTAGATTTAAAGGATCAGTTCACACTTTTTGTGTGTTCAAACAGTAGTCAGGTGCCAATATGTAGATTAAAAAAATTTTTTTTTGCTTGCTGAAATGCTTCTTCCTGTTGATACTGGCCATTAATGGATCCCTTCATCCATTATAAAGAGGGAATTGTATACCAAAAAGACTGACAGTAACTTTGAAAGATACTGATCCTGCAACTGTGAAACTATCCTTTTTAATACTTGCATGTAAATGCAATACCATGGGTGGCCCAACAGGTGTCGCCCTTTTGGACTGTATCAAATGCTTTGACACAATAAATCATTTTCAGCACAATTGTTTGGTAGCAGTTCAGCACTTCAGAAAGTCTCCCCCCATTACTGTTTTGGTGTATGACATTGTTTTTCAATATGTCCAGTTCGTCTAAACTGTGGTGAATATATATGAGCACTAACTACTCATCACCACCCTAACAAATACCTGAAAAACTGTAAACTTTTTTAACATAAACAGCATTTACAGCATGCCATATTTATTTAAAGTCACGTTGAGGCGTCATGTTAAAGCATTTTTTTTTTCCTACCCAACTCACTGGTGTTTGGTCTGTCTCTGCTCATAGGTGGAGCTCCAAACTACTTTCCCAACAGCTTCAGTGCCCCAGAGACCCAGCCTCAGTTTGTGGAGTCCAAGTTCAAGGTGTCTCCAGATGTGGCCCGTTACAACAGTGCAGATGAAGATAATTTCACACAGGTAAAGATAATGGCCAGGCCAAGTGTGTTTTTTTTGTTGTTTTACATATATTCATTCACACTCATCCCATGGGTACTTTGTTGTGCCCCTCAATAGTTTGATCTGCTGTCAATATAAACAGGGAAACAGGTGAACGCACTCCCAGTCCAGTTAAATAAAAAGTGTTTACTAATAGTCATCTCCCAGGGATGTCACTGTGCTCAGGCCATCCATCTGTCCATCCACCACTATGGTTCAGAGTTGTCATGAAACTGACGTAACTCTTGTTATGAGTTTGCTTTATGAACCATTTCCAAGAAGAGCTTTTTGGATTGCTCCAATCACGGTATCTGTTGAGTTGTGAACTTAACCACACAGCTGTAGCTGAATTGTTTGCTCGTTTCGTGTGTGTGCCCTTGACCTAGATTTCATTTTCAATCATGCAGTGCATTCAATGCAGCTGTCAAGTCCACACAAGAACAGGGTCACCACAGACACAGCAGTGCTTTCTTTCCCACAACAGAATATTCATTTTCACAATCAAATGTCCCTAATTTTTTGCAATTCAATTACATAACTGAATTTATAATATCTGACAGCCCTAGCAGTGATTGGTTTGTTGAAATAGGGTCTCAGATTACAGGATGTTCCTTTTTTAAACGGGAATTTTTGTATAAATGCAGAATTTAATTTTGATTTGATCCACTTTGACCAAGTTGTCTGCTTTTATTTGTCTTTTATTGCAGGTCTGTACTTTCTACACCCAAGTGCTGAATGAAGAGGAGCGCCAGAGACTTTGTGAGAATATGGCAGGGGCCCTGAAGGGAGCCCAGTTCTTCATCCAAAAACGCATGGTGAGTCCACAGCACCTTTTTATAATGTCCACATATTTACTCTGTCTTTCATGCGGAGCGGAGCGGGATGGGATATCCACTATTTAACACAGTTGACTTTTAATTTTACGCAATAATTGCAAGATACAAAATAGACTTTAAAAGTAATTATGATTAACTGTTGGGTTGGTGAACCAAATGTATGTCACAGGATTAAACAGGATGTGGCAGGTTGAGTACCAAATGTACAAGTTTGCCTGTGCTCAGGAAATGCGGTTTTGTGGTTGTAATGGAAGGGAAATGTTTTTCATACTTAACCTACTTGCATAAATGGGTTTCAGAATGCATTCAAACTTTAAAAGGGCCTTAAAAACAAAGATTGAATTTAAGAAATGTAAACATTTATACAAACGTATAAAGAAAATAAAGACCACACAATAAAAGCTCATTAAAGGGCAGCAGGAAATGGTGTGTGTATGTGTGGTGCATAATACATTAATGAAATTTCATTCATCTTTGATCCCACTCTTAAAACAATGAGCGGATTGTTTGTTTCAGGCTAGCTGTTTATGTTGTACCAGCAGGTTAGCAGTGTGTTTATGTGATAAGCCATTTAGTTATTTATATACAAGCAGTAAGTCAACAATCACCAGCATATAAAGTTTGAGTATCGTCTACGTAATTATGATTGATAATGTTACTATTATGATTAATGTGATGTAGTAGAATCATGCAAAGATGAAAGAAAACGGGACTAACTATTAAATCCTGTGTAAGCGTTTAATGCAAATGTGACAAGACACACAGTAACCACGTTGTTCATATCTAGACCAAATGCTAAACCAAACCCAACTATGATTTAAGTCTCACTGTCTGGTTCTTCATGCAGGTCGAGAACTTGAAGGCTGTCCATCCAGACTATGGAAACAGGGTTCAGACCCTTCTCAACAAGTACAATGCAGAGGCCCAGAAGGTAAATGCAGTCCCAGTCCAGTCCCCCCCCCGTAACAATGTTGATCATTCTGACTATTATCAAAAAGTGATTAAAAAAAGTTAAAAAATTATTAAAAAGTGTCAAATACGAATTATTCATTTTTTAATTTATTTTTCCCATTAGCCTCAGCTGTACTTTATGTGTGTTAGCATGCTAACACACTACTCTAAGACTGTAAAAGTGGTATACATTACCTGCTAATTAGTAAAGATTCTAATGCTCTATCTCTCCCCCTCCTTTCCTCCTTCCACTCTGTCCTTCTCAGAGCGCCAATGTGCACGTTTACAGCCGTCCAGGAGTCTCTGCCTTTGCTGCGTCCTCCAAGATGTGATGCTTCAAATCTCCACTAGGGGCAGCCCCCTCATTTCTCTAGGAGCAAATGCACTTATTGATTACTGCTACTACCACTAACAAGACTGGACTTAACTCTCGAATTACAGTCAGACACAAGACTGAAATACTAATATTGTGGTTTCCAGGTTAATTCATGCAATTCAAATAGTTGATTTTCTTCAAAATTCTCAAAGCTGGCAATATCGAGGAAGCTGTTGATCTCTGATAAAACCCTGGGAGGTAAATCTGTCTTGACTCAACAGCCATTTCGAAAGAAATCAGCCGGATTAGTTTTTTAGGAATTAAAAATAGACCACCATGTTGTCTAATTTTGACAGCCGACTGTTTGGTTGTACCAAAAACATGCCACATTTGAGTGTTTGACTTTTACCATGTAAAGCCTTGAAAGTAATTTAAAATTATTGTATTTACGTTTTGATCTGTTAGGATTAAATCAGTTAAGTGCTGTTACCTACTATGATGAGTGACGATTGTTTCCAATAATTCCTCAGGTTGTGTGTACTACTATATTGTGATGATCCAACTCTTTTTAGTTTAAATAAAACAAATCCAGCTATCCAAAACTACTTTAGTCAACTTTCAAATCACACTTATGTAATGTCTGACATATACTGCATTAATCTTCAGGCTGGGTTCCAGTTGGTAAAATATCTGTTTGTTGCATGAGCGGCTTGTAGCTTTGCTAATACCAGTGTTTTTGTTCTCACTATGGGCAATGATCCGTTTTGGCTAGTTTTCCTCAAGCGTGACTGAACCACAGATCATTTGAATAATTATGGAAAATAGTATATTTCATATTAAATGAGTAGAAAAGGCTTGCTACTAGTTGTTTCCTTGTGGGCGCAAGTTTCAAGGAGAGAAATTCTTTTCACTAAAACTAAAACTCCATTGTGCCTTTTTATATGTGCTTAATCTACCAAATACTGATTACTTAAACCTTAAACTGGACGCAAGCAATTATGATTAATCAAACAAATTACTGCAATTTATTCATTCATAGAAAAACACTGTACAGTAGTGCCAGAGTTTAAATATCATGTTGGTCACAGACCCCAAACATCCTTAACAAAAAATTATTAGTCCAATACAAATTGTCCATGTAACCTGCTATTGACGACTTTTTGTAACATTTCAAATGTTCTTTATTTGAATGCAACTGATTTTTTTTTTTATTAATGTACAAGTTGTGAAGCTCTTTCAGATGAGATGTGTATTTAGTGCTTGTTAATTTGTAATTAAAGCTTAACAGCAGCTTTTATTTGTCTCCATTTCTTCTGTTCACAGAACAGCCTGGTCCTACATGTGGTTAAGACAACCAAAGAGCTACAGAACAATGGCCAAGCATTAGGGGGAAGAAAACACAACATTTCGTACATTTTACACAAACCTCCTGTTAATAAAGTTATTTTGTTCCCTATTTGGGTCCATTATATAGTTTATCAGTTGTTCTGTACTATTATTGTTATGTATTGAGTATAGTACGAATTATTCATAATAAAGTCACTAAAGATTGTGAACCACTGATGTAAATAATTGGGAAATTGCATGTGTACAGCATTGAATAGAAATATCTAAAGGTGGCATTAGAAATCAATCAATTAATCCAAATCTTATTTGTTTTTGTAATTTTTTTTTGGTAGCCAGGGTAGCAAGGTATGGCCAACCCACACTGCCCCTGTCTGTGGTTTTCTGTTGGAAGACCAGAATCATCACAGTTAAAGTTCATACATACCTTCCTGCAGCCTGCACTCAAA